ACACTATATCATCTGATTGGACAATCTCTAATCTAAACACACACTATATCATCTGATTGGACAATCTCCTCTAATCTAAACACACACTATATAATGTGATTGGACAATCTCTCTAATCTAAACACACACTATATCATCTGATTGGACAATCTCTAATCTAAACACACACTATATCATCTGATTGGACAATCTCCTCTAATCTAAACACACACTATATAATGTGATTGGACAATCTCTAATCTAAACACACACTATATAATGTGATTGGACAATCTCTAATCTAAACACACACTATATAATGTGATTGGACAATCTCCTCTAATCTAAAACACACTATATAATCTGATTGGACAATCTCCTCTAAACTAAACACACACTATATAATTTGATTGGACAATCTCTAAACTAAACACACACTATATCATCTGATTGGACAATCTCTAATCTAAACACACACTATATCATCTGATTGGACAATCTCTAATTTAAACACACTATATAATCTGATTGGACAATCTCCTCTAATCTAAAAACACACTATATAATCTGATTGGACAATCTCCTATAAGAAAACCATACACTATATAATCTGATTGGACAATCTCTAATCTTATTTACACTATATAATCTGGTTGGACAATATCCTATAATCTAAACATACACTATGTAATCTGATTGGACAATCTCCTATAAAATAACCATACACTATGTAATCTGATTGGACAATCTCTTTTAGGATAAACATACGCTATATAGTCTGATTGGACAATCTCCTTTACCTGCATGCTCCTAACACAGTGACTGAGCTGTCAAAGACAGCTTGTGGTCTCTAGCAGGGTGGATTTGATTTAAATCAAACTGATTTAAATCACGATTTAAATCACTAGTCAGTAAGGCTGATTTAAATCCTAGTTTTCTACATAAAGACTAATTCTTGCTGGTATAACTTTAATATGCAAGTAGATGAAGATTTTTAGAATAACAACTTTTCATATTAGTTTTTTTATCCCCAGTTTAATAGGTTAATCATTCATATTTGGACAACTTTTCTGTTGTACTTAGGAAGGAGAAAAATAATCATTACCTTAATAACAATTTAAATAGATTTATTCATCTGAAACAATAACATTCCAGCATATGTTATTTGCCTAAACAAACATCCATGTTTAACTAATTTGGCTAAACAAAATATATATATATTAAGAAACTTAGGCTGTCAGCCCCTTCCTCCTCACACTTAGTTTCACTTTCTTCTTGTGCAGATCTATTCCACTCCAAACAATCAGAAAAATATTGTTTCTATTCTATTCACTGAACTTCTTGAAATTTAGCACTGAAGGGGTTGATTCTGTATTCATAGGTTTGTAGAAGTTAGGATTAAGGTTTTTCTTAACTCTGTTCATGTTATAACATTTTTGCTGTGAAGAAGAGGCCTGTGATCTCTGCTGAGTCAAATTCAGTTTTGAGAACTGCAAAAGTAAACCAAGCATCTGTGATAATATCTTGTAGGCAGAGAAACTGCCCAATAATCTTACAAAAACCCCTGGAAGAGCATGACATTGTGAATGGATTCATGGAATTTATTTACCAAAAAAATTAAACATATACAGCCTTATTCTACATAATTAAAAAACTAATCTTTATTTCATGATGGAATAACCTTTGGATGGTAATATATTTTCCTCAAAAAGCATTTTTATTTAAAAAAAATCCGATTTAAATAAAAAAAAATCCTTTTTTTTTTTTTTTTTTTTCATCATTGATTTTTTTCCACCCTGGTCTCTAGTAATGATCAGGAATCAGCGGGACCTGTTTTCAATCATGTTACAGCCAATTACAATGGTCACAGGATCAGGCAGACCTTCCCACCCCCTGGATATAATCTTCCAGTTCAAGAGAAAGGGTTAAATCAGAGGGTTTATCGCATCTCAGCCTTTTGGCTAAGATCCGGTGTAAGAAAATTGGTGCTCAGGGGGGCTACGGCTAGTATTCTCCCTGATGTAATAAGGTGAGATTGGTGGGAGGGCATTTTGCCTCCCATGTTGATTCTGGCCTGGTGTACCAGCTTTTTCCCAGGTGAAGGTATGGCTCTCCCTAAGTTCTAATGCCTTCCTGGTAGAAATGATGCTGCTCTTGCCTGGCCAGTTTGAGTCTATTATGGCACCAAGGTCCCTGCGCTGACAGCAGATGAGTCATGGTTGTTAAGGAAGCCGGCGACCGTTCGCTCCTTAACAACCAGTAAACAATATGGTTGTTAAGGATGCCAGCCACCATCAGCGTTAAAATACTGCTAGCTTTCACTACTAAAATACTGCATCACTCCATAAAATAGCTCATGCATTATTTTAGTAGCTTTTCTAGTGAATTGCAAAACAATTTTTGAAAAATGCTAAGAGGTAATTGCTAAGAGGTATTTTATTTTGCAGTTCCCAAAAGGGAGACAGAACATGTGACAGAACAATACCAATACAATGCAAAACATGAGATCAAGGGCCCTGCTCTTTCGAGCTTACAATCTAGGAGTAGGTACTGCTTTGTGAATTGAGCCCACTGTCAGCAGTCCGTATCCCTGAACACCACTACACCAGTCACATCATGCTGTTGTACTGCTCTGGTGACAGTATGGGGGGAAAAACATATTTTATTTAATTCATTTTCTAAAAAATTGTGACATAAAAATTATATAAAAAAATTTGCCATGCCTTTTACTAAATACCTTGGACTATCTACTTTCCAAAAAGGGGTCGTTTGGTGGGTATTTGTACTGTCCTGACACTTTAGGGCCTTAGTATGTTAGGATTGATCAATTTTTTTTAAATGTGTGTGTATGTATATATATATATATATATATATATATATATATATATATATCTTAGTTTGTAGGTACTATAACTTTCACAGAGTAAAAAATATACACTGATTTGGGTTATTTTTATCAAAGTGTAGCAGAATACACTTTGGTCTAAATTTGTGAGGAAAGATTATTTCATATAATTTTATAACAGAAACTAAGATCTGTGTTTCTTGGTCTTATTTTGTTTATATAGCAAAAAAAAATAAAAAAACTCAGCGGTGATCAAAAAACACCAAAAGAAAGCTCTAATTCTGTGAAAATATTTTTATTGATTTCAAATTGGTACAGTGTTGCATGGCCACGCAGTTGCCAGTTAAAGTAGCAGTGTTCAATAACAAACAAATGCCCTGATCATGCAGGGGAGAAAACCTTCTGGGGGTCAAGTAAAGTCAGTGTGGGGAAGCTACAGTGTCACATAGATGCTGCAGCATGGAGGCAAATATGCATGTTTGTTTGATTACTAACCCCCATAATTCTCGTTTATCCTGTTCCCGCCCAGCCAGTAGCAGAATGACAGCTGAGCAGGACTCTTGTCGATCTGTTTGGGTGTCATATGACATCCTTTCCAGATTGCGCCTCATGCATACCCGCGCTGGGGCAAGATCTGTCACAGGCTGTGTTCAGACACAACCGATGACAGATCTGTGTACAGGACCATTGCCAGTACCATGTGACCCACTGTGACCATTCACAGCAGGTCACATGTCAATTGTAAACAATGGATGGCTTCTTTTCATGCCATTCATTGTATACAATTGTGTCACAAGCTGTGATTGGTCACAGTGATCACATGTAGAGACTGGGCCAATCAAAGCCCATGTGTGTCATGTGATTAGCTGTGGCCAACAAAAAACCCTGAGTGAATGAATTTAATTCAGTTAAATGCTTGCTTATAGCAAATACATTCTTTGCTATAAGCAATCATAATGTGTAAAAAGAAAATTCTGATCACTTCCCCAGAGTAGTACAATGTTACTATGGTAACATTATACTACTCTAGTCACAGTGTATTATGAAAAAAAAAAAGTAATAATAATAAAAAAAGTTATTACTTTTTTTTTCGTACTGTCACCAGTCAGTGTCCCTGATCACCACCACACCAGTTATATGATGACGTTGTACTGCACTGGTTACAGTATGTAAGAAAAGAACCTGGTTCTTAATTTCTTCATTTTCCAAAAAATTATGACAAAAAGATTACAACTTCAAAAAACTCGCCATACCTCTTAATAAATACGTCGGACTGTCTACTTTGCAAAAAGGGGTCTTTTGGGGGATATCTATGGTCCTGACATTTCTGGGCCTGAAGAAATTAGATTGGCCGTCAGTACTTCAGGATTGATCAATTTTCAGATATATCCCATAGTTTGTGAACTCTATAATTTTCCTACAGTCTACATAAATATTGATTTGGATTATTTTCACCAAAGAAATGTAGCAGAATACATATTGGCCTAAATTTATGAAGAACAATTATTTGTTTGTAGAATTTTATTTGGCAGGTACTCTGAATTTCAACAACAAGATACCTGGTTCGGGTACATAAATTGCTACAATGTATCTGATGTGGCTGACACTAGTTGGAAAGTTTTACACCTAGTTTTCCATTTCGATATACGGCAAAAAAAAAAACCCTACTGGTTTGATCTAGACATTGATTCCTGGTTCAAACTGATGCGGTGCGGAATTGGCAGCTTTTTCAGTGCAAATTCCGCACCGCATCAGAATCACACCCCATTCATGTGAACCGCTGCGAGTGTGTATGTTAACAGCACCCCAAAAGCGGTCCACAAAATGCGGTGGGATGCGAAGAACCAGATCGTGGAGGTGTGAGTACCTATGTGATCCAATTCTAGTGCGGACCCAAAAGAGGGTCCTGCATGTTTTGGGTGCGGTGCGATTAGAGCCATACAAAATGTATGGCTCCAATTGCACCGCACAAATTGCATGTGATTTGCACAGGAATGCGGTGTGGTTCCTGTGCGAATCACATGCAATATACCGCACTAGTAACCATGGCAATAGCCCAGAGCACAGGATAAGTAGCTAAGATATGTCATTCATATGTATTTACCTTTACACAACATATGTCATCTCAGATATATTTGCTAGTTGTTTTTTTTTTTTCTTTTCATTCAGTTTCACTATGTCCCGTGACACAAAGGGTGATTCCCAACACTCACAGCAATCCCAAAGCACAACTCAAGGCGCATCTCAAGGCACTTCTCAAGGCACTTCTAGTTCATCGTCCAGTGCTCCTCAGTCATACAGCCAGTCCTCCTCTTCTGGTTCTGGCACCTTAAGTTCTTTAGACACAGTTCCAGTACAAGATCTGGCTTCTATTCCAGAAGATGTAGAAATGGATGAGGAGGCTCCACAGCCTTGGGGTCGCCTGTGGGCCTTAGAAAAAGGGTTCTTGAACCATGGTATGTATTTTATGCTGTATACGCTTTCAGATATACCTGTCAATGGAACGCATGCAGAAAACTTAACTGAAATGTTTTTACTTTTCACTGCTGGCTTCTTTTTAGTTTATAGCCATTTTAGGAAGCATTGCAACACTTTTCTTTAATGTAATCAGTGTCCATAATAGTTCAAAGGTTGTCAGTGGAGTCACTGGAACAATCATTTCTCTGATTAAGTGTTTGGCAACGACAATAAAAATTAATAGGAGGGTCAGTGGAAATGGGCTATTAAATCACTCTTTTAAGGTCACCAAATATACTATGTGCAAGAAACTCCCTCAAAAATATCTCTTAGGCAGGACTAGGTTCACACTGCAGGGGTGGGTCACTTTTCAGAAAGCATTTGAACTGCAGCTTTCCTGTGCTCAGGAAGGCGATCCTGCCACCTCCTGAACACTTTTTTTTTTTTTTTTTATATTGTGATTTGTATTGTTTTGCTATTTGACAACTTTAATTTGGACTAAGGGCTTGCTTACACTTCAGAATGTGGCATTAGACACACTTTTTTTTTAAAGCACTCTGAAAGCCAATTAAAGCAGCTGTCACTAAATAAAATGCTAAACTTACAGTCCTGTTTACACATTGCACTTGTTTAGCTTCAACAGTTATACCCCATGTCGCTTTCTTTGCACTTCAAAGTGATTCCAATGCCTCCATAGAAGTCTATGACAAAGCTCGCTAGCAGCACCTGTAGCTTTTGTGGGGCTTTTATTCAGCATTAGAGTCCCTTGTTTTGGAGAGGTATTGCAGGTATGCGATATCCCAGGATGCACTGGGAAATCAACAAGCAAACCGGAAAGACGTCATCAGCAGTCACTTCCTGTTAATATGTATATATTCTGGAAGTGTCTCATGCAGATTTCACATCTGGTGTGCAGCATGGAAGGCGAGCGGGGTCTGCAGCAAAGCAACTAGCAGATGGCACATGTGGTGTGCCACATGGGAACGCTATAGTGGGAGATGAGTGGGGACCAGAGAGAGAGGACTGAGTATTAGAGAATCAGCAGAGCTGGGGGACCAGAGCTGGAGAACTGGCAGTTTCACATGTGGTGCGCAATGTGGGAGCAATATAGCAAGAGGTGGGCAAGGACAGGAGAGAGAGGAGGATCAGCAAACTTGAGGGTTACTACCAAGTGGGGGATCAGCAGAGCTGGGGGTTACTACTGAGCGGGGTATCAGCAGAGTGTGGGGGTTACTACTGAGCGGGGGATCAGCAGAGCTGGGGATCTGCTGAATGAGGGTACCAATGAGCTCAGGATCTGCTAAAAAGGGGTGATATTGAGCTGGTGATCTGCTGAGTGGGGGTACTACTTAGCCGGGGTTCTAATGGGCCCCTTTAAAAAGAAAATCAACACACACACAAGGCATTTGCCAAGCTTTTTCAAAAAAGCATCAACGAAGCAGCATCAAAACATAGAAGCATCAGAAACGGATCAAAAGAGCATGTTGAAGTAGGAGTCGCTGTAATGTGCCGAAGCAAGTGTAAATGAGCCCTAATGTACCGCAACTGCGAGCAAAGCATTTGGCTCCCTGTTGAGGCACAGGCCCATTAACTTAATAGGTGCTGCCTGTCAACATGACAAGCTTGGTTAAGTTTGCTGTAATGCATAGCATCGCGGCCACAGCATGTATACTGCCCCCTTCAGCTACATGTTAGGATTAAGTTGGGCAGTGGAGGCAATGGTAAAACTGTGACACAACAGCCTGTTTTTACCACCCCCTGGCCACCTATGTGAAACCCCATTTTTGATAGCTAAATACAATCCCAACATTTCATACCAGCGTTGAAGAGATTATGAACCTGTGGGGACTTACACAAGTTCATTTGAGGGCACAAAAAAGCAATAAATTACCCATTTTTTTGTAAAATATAAAAGAGGAGGTTGCACCGAGTAAATACTATAGATTTCCACCATGTCAAACCTCAAACCTCTTCTAAGGTTCTTTTTTTTTTTTTTTTTGTAAAATAACAAACATGTTATACTTACCTGTTGAGTTCAGTGGTTTTGCACAGTGTAGCCTGGATCCTCCTCTTCTCGGGTCCCCCGCTGGCGCTCCTGGCTCCTCTTTTCTATCAGGCGCCCCCATAGCAAGCAGCTTGCTATGGGGGGCACCCGAGCAGGCTGTTCCCAAGCCGCTGCTCTGTGTGTCCATTCACACATGTAGCTATGGCTTGGGCCCCGCCCCCTCTCTCTCTTCATTGGCTGACTGGCTGTGATTGACAGCAGCAGAGGAGGCAGAGACCTGGGACAGCTGAGGCTGTTGTGCACATCGATGGATCGCGATGGGGCTCACGTAAGTAAAGAGGGGGCTGGGGGCACTGCTGCACACAGAAGGTTTTTACCTTCATGCATAGAATGCATGAAGGTAAAAAGCCTTGAGCCTTTAGAACCGCTTTAAATTTGCGTGCATGAAATGGCAATAAACTTTACCTTATATTTTCTATAGGAACACTTTTAAAGCCCCTTATAGGTCATCAGTTTAGTGTTCTGGAGGAGGTCGGGTTCTAGAATTGCTCTCACTGGTGTGTGCCGCAATAATGTATAGCAATCAACTTTTTCATGCGTCGGCACCCTAGGGTGTGCTTTTAATTTTTACGTGCGTATATATATGGGGGTGAGGGGGGTCTTAATATTTTTTTTTTGAGTGGGTGCTTGGGTGTAACTTTAATTTTTTACAATTAAAAAAAAAATATATAATTTTTTTAACTTAATTTTTACTTTTTTTTCCATTTTATATATATATATATATATATATATATATATATATATATATATATATGATGATTTTGGTGACAGGTGTTCTCTTTATTGAGATATGCAGAGTCTAAAAGACCCTGCGTGTCTCCCCTGTACTCCACTAAATGTAATGCAGTGCACATCGCACTGCATTGCATTCTTTCCCAGACTCGATCTGTCAACTGGGACCCAGAAGTGATATCACCGCTGAACCTGTACCGGGCCTGCAGATGGGCATGCGGAGGCTGACACTGTAACGGAGTGTGCGGAAGCATTCGGGTTGCAGTGCAGCCACCCGAATGCTTTCACCTGACGGGTCAGCCCTGCTGCTTGCCTGCAGCAGGGCTAAAAGTTTTAAAAAAAAAAATAAATGCTTGCCCAGCGCCTGGAACTACATGTCCTGGGCGTCGGGTGATCTAAATTGAACATCCCTGCAGTGTGCGGGGGTTGTTCTCCCCTGCAGTGGCTGGCTCAGGGCTCTGTCCACACAGCTGCTTCTTTCATTCTCAGAGGTCTGTGAATGAATAAACTACAAGTACTGCCTGCCACTGTGGCAGACTTGCAGTTGTCATATAAAAGTGTGGTAATCACTGCGCTCTTTGTCCATCATAGTTCACGTCCTCCAACTCTGCAACTGAAAGCCTGTACCTTGGTATGGATATAGAGCTGGAGGAATAGTCTGCAAGAGCCTGGCATTGCACTCGTGATCACTGATTGTGGGTGCAATGCTTAGCTTGCTGCTGTGAAAAACACAAATGAGAGCTCATTGGAGGGAAGAGACACAAACCCTTCACACAGGAACAGAGCCGAGGCTGTCAAATCACAAGCTGTATTGGGGATCCCTCCCGTCACCTTTTTTTTTTTTTGTTGTCAGGAAAACCTGTCAGAAGTGAGCCATTTTGATAGCAGAGGAACAAAGCATCAGACAGATATGACACTTAGTGCTCTGGATTGAGCGAAGTACACACTATAGAAGGATATGCTTTGTTCATTTTTCATGTCTGAGGTTTACAACCACTTTAAGAATAGATTGTGGATCTTTCTAGGACAGATTAGAACCTCTGCCATCTGTTCCCTCACTGTGAAGATTACTCATTGGCTTCTCTCCTGGAGACACAAGAGAAAATTAAGTGAAATCTATTCAAAGAGAAAAAAGATCCCATCTTTGACAGTTGTCACCAGGACAAGTGTACCTATTCAAATGTCTCCTTCCATTAATATTCAGAGCACTGTAAAGTATTTGAACTGTATTCACAGTACTGGAGTGTCACTTTCAGGAAAATTTATAAAAAATACTAATTACTGTGATTAATTAAAATCTGATTGTGAGAAATTTTAGCAAATATCTTTGAAATCTTTTTGTCTTTTGAACAGATTGTATTAATGAACAGTATGAATTTGGAAGGGACAGGCACTGTGATTATACTTTTGATAAACCAATAATAAATCAGACCGAGAGATACAAAACCTACAGCAAAAAGCACTTTCGGATTTTTAGGGTGAGTACTAGAATTATGCTAATTATGTTCTAATGTAAATGTTACAATTTCATTCAACAGAGTTGTAAAGTAGACTATGGAATTTATTAAATGTTGAGTGTTTTTTAAAGAAAATAGTTTTCTTGCGTTTCTCACAGGAAGCTGTATCTGGCTTGTCGGTTGTTGCCTACATTGAAGATCTCAGTGGCAATGGAACTTTTCTTAACAAGCAGCTTATTGGACGGGGGAATAAATTGCCTTTAACAAACAATGCTGAAATTGCACTTTCATTACCAACCAACAGAGGTACCGTATTTTATTCTTTTGGCAGTTTTTTTTTTTTTTTTTTTTTTTTTTTTTTGTTCTTTTTAATAGAATGGGGAAGGTTTAGACCCCCTTGCATTTTTTTATTGCTGTCTGTGCCAGCAAATACAAAAAAAAAAAAAAAAAAAAAAAGGCAACTTTTATTTTTTTTTCTCTATTCTAATAGTACTTGCCTTGCTGTTTATGTCCACATTGGAAAAAACTACATTTCCTTTTCCTTCATATCTCCCCAGTGTGGTGCAGACTGTCATTTTGACAAGCACATGTTTTAGAGCCATTTCCTTAATTACAGGAAAACTTAATGTTTAGTAAAATTGTCCTTTTAAAGCTTCCCCCTAAGTGCAATTCTGCATCGCAGCAATCTTATCTTTACTCCTCCACAGAGAATATAGTCCAGGCCAGAGCTGTTAATCTTTTGACCAGAAAAATGTCCCATCAAGCTCCTGCATCTACTGAGCACATGCATCACAGCTTCATTTAGGTCTCATTCATGCTGGCACTGTAAAACCTGTGTTTTATATGCATTTAGAGGACTTTTATACAGGTGAAACTCGAAAAATTTGAATATTTGTGCAAAAGTTTGTAAGTTTGTAAGCCATGAGCTGTAAGCCATAATCATCACAATGATGACAAATCACAGCTTGAAGTATCTTGCTTTGCATGTAATGAGTCTATGTCATATATTAGTTTCACCTTTTAAGTTGCATTACTGAAATAAATGAACTTTTGCACGATATTCTAATTTTTCGAGTTTCACCTGTAAATGCATGTAATACATTTCCAGTGGTGCCATTCACACTGTGCATTTACATGTGTTTAGGTACAATCATTTTAGCTTCATCTAGAGAAAAAAGAATTCTGTCCGGAATCCAAGCTGGCACCCTAAGCATGGCTAAACACTTTCTAAAATATTAATGCAGCGCTAATATTTTAGAAATTGTGATTCTGGGACTGTTACCTATACCCTGAGTGCTAGCTGCTTTTAATTCATTTGAATATATATCATTTTAATATCCTATACTGCATTTAGCGCTCACTCTATTATCTTTTCTACATGGCTAAACACTTGTAACAAACATACACCTGCTTTATGTTATTGCTGTGTGTCTGTTGTACCATGTAAGTTCACCTTTTAGTAGCATGCTACATCTTACACCCTCAGGTGTAAGATTCAGGTCGTAAGATGTAACATGTTACTAAAGCATTCAAAAAAACACACCGACAAGATATCTGGTATGGTAAATCATGGACTTTAAAGGCACAGCATGAAACAAACCAAGTGCTTAAACATCATACACTTTCACAAATTTTGAAAAACATGATGTATTAAAATCACCCCCAATGGTGATTCCCTCTAAAAAATGCAGGACATAAATAATAAGTGATGTAAATAGTACAACAAACATCCATATTATCAAGATACCCTTGGCCAGTTCTCGCTGTCAATATATTTCGCTAATGTTGCAGCTTCTTCAGGACCGTATGACATAGGAGAATATACTACTATCAATAAACACTTAAATAAAAATTAGTCTTCTACATATATTGCAATATTAACATGAATAGTAACCCATGCATTTCTGCACATTGATTCGTGTTGATTTTTAAATATATGTATAAGTCTAATTTTTATTTAAGTCCTGAAGAAGTTGCAACACAAGTGAAACGCTTTGACCATGAGAACTAGACAAGAGCATCTTGATTATAGAGGGGAACCCCATATGTGGGGATATAACCCCTTTTTCTGTTATTAAAACAGTCTTTTTAGTACATCATGTTTAAATTTGTATAATAAAGTGCATAATTTTAAGCATTTGGTTAGTCTCATGCCGTGCCCTTAAAGTTCACTATTCACAGTACAATATATCTTGTCCATGTGTTTTTTGGATGTGACACTTTGAAAGCTACGATGTTTGATGTTACTAAAGCAGCAGCCCTGCATACCCCCACCTCCTCTCCCTGGTTCCCCACTGTGACAGCGGGTGGAGGAGACTCTCCCTGCACCCACTGTCACAATTTATAGACCGCGCGGTCGTGTGGGGCTCAGCCCATGCAGCTGCGTTTTTTCATTTGCATAATTGAGATCTGTGCATAAATGAACTACAAGTCTCATCTTCCATAGCAGCAGATGCTGGTAAGTGCTCCCGTAGTTTATTGATTCTTCCTGCACTACATTGATCGTACCTCCCGTACAGGTAGAAAATTAAACAGTTGTACTGAGAGTCTGCAGGAGCCTGACATTGCACCCATCATCTGCTGATCAGAGGTGCAATGTTGTGCAGCTTTCTAGGTAAAAAGAAAATACACTTTTCTACCAAAAAAAGTGCATTTTATTATTTTTTTAAGTTAACTTATCCTTTAAAAAGTATCCTGTTCTCTTTGCATTGCTTCCTATGTTTGAAATACCCGGTGACCCTAGAAGCAAAAGCACCTCATGGTGTTATCACTGCAGACAGTCGCGTTGTGTGAACAGGCACAAATATCTGCAGCCACTGCCAGCCTGTCATTTCAGTGTACAGGCTCATTGGCTGCAGCACACAGCTATCAACCCCAGCAACGGGAATCAGTAGATTCTTGCAGCTGGACTTGCAGCGTGGCCCATGTATATATGTGTGTATATAACATAGCTAGAAACTATAACAACTTGCTTTGGTCCCTTGATTGTATGATAACTGAAGTGGTGTTTAGGGCTGCCTGGTAACCGATTCCAGTTCATGTCAAACTTGTTTTATTCTTGGGTGAGAAGAGAGGGTGGGATGGCAAGGATCCAGTGTCCAAATCACACGTAATCTAGTTTTGGACAGGTAAGGTTTGGATGGTAGGATAAGGTGGCAGTGAAAGTATTGGTGAGTTAGGGAGGTGAGGAGGGGTGGGTATGTGGAGGAAGAATAACCCCTGTTTGGTCGGAGGGGGGTAAATAAATTAAAGTGGAGGGGGGGGGGGGGAAGGTGTGCTTTTAACATTACAACTAATACAAATAATACAAGATTTTCTTGAGCCAAAGGTATAATGGCATATTCCCAAAATATAAATTCACGGCCAGTCACAAGATGGCAGTAAAAGCCTGTCTTCCGTTCTGAATGATCCATTGAAGTGTTTTGACCTTAATCTAAAACTATAAAAAATGTTTTGCCTTGAGTTCTACTTTAAGTGGTGACAAATTACAATGCCTCTCAGTTTTGTTTTTTTTCTGTCTGTGTCCCTGTGAAGGGAAATCTCCCCAATGGGACAGAAATGGCAAAATTTACAGGGGTTATATTCCTCCCTTACTGTAACCAAAATGGAAGAGAGAGGTTTTTTTCCTTCCGTACTTTAATCAGTTATCCCTGAATATCAGTCACACTTCAGTAAATTTATGTGTGTATCCAAGTATACAAATACACAATTGGACAGGTGTGATTTTCATCAGTAACCACAAATGAAATTGTGGTGCAAACAAATGCTAATAAGCTCTCCACATAAGTTACTCTACCCCCCTAGATAAATGTGAAGATACACTTGAATTACATAGATTGTTCATAAAAATCCCATAGGATCGGTGTTGCACTTCAGTAGCAAGCTGCACCCGAGACAGGACCAAATCTCTGAAATTACAAAAATGAACACAAGTGGGCTCCAGCTAAGTGCAGCATCAATGGGTTTATTACGATTTAAAAGCCGTATGCCAACTCACAGAAATATAATCTCAATGAGTTTATCTATAGCCATGCCACATTGGATGGAAAGCCGTACACTGGAAGAGCTGCTTGTGACAGGGAACAGCGTGTTGTAGAATATATAGCATAGTGCATACACACATAGAATACCCACGTATATACAAAAAAATGCACATATAGAAAAAAATGCCTACGTAAAAACGATAATGTGAAAATTATGTAACTACGCTGAGTGCCAAAAAAAAAAATTCAAACAAATTGTGAACCATAAAACAAAACAAACAGTGAAACAATAGCTGCACTCAAAAATACAAATACTCAATAAGTGATACCCAATTGTTGTGCTCTTAATAAAAAAATATATACGAACAGTGAGTCACTTATACTTTAAATGTGCTCCTACCAATAATATTAAGTCAAACTACATGAATCACCAAACAAAAGTCTTTTGATGACAAAATTCCGATTATGATCAACAGCCATGTGCACAATAATCTTCCACATGTGTAGTAAAATAGAGACTCTCATTTCCACCACCACAAAAAACACACTGCTCCTTACCGAATAGTTTGACCCCAGATTATAGGTGGAGTAACAGAGCGGGATGCTAAACATATCTTGATTATAACATCCTAGATGGAAAAGAGGGGTCACAGGCTTCGGTATCTCTCCTTCTCTCTTCCTCCCGTGTTGTGATCTGCTGTGTGCTTGGTCAAAAAGGATAATACTCTAGATAGTGTGATAACATACAAATGATTTATTGAAGTCAATAAGAAAAAACACTTACAAACTTCAAAGACAAATGAGCATGTAAGTAATAAATGCTGCTGGGGCCAACTCCAGACAAGCATGGGTGATGTCAGTACAATCTCCACCCAGCCCCAACATACATTTTGTCTCAAACATTGTCAAGGGGATCAAGTGACTGTGCTGATTTGCATGCTGAGTTTAACCACTTGCCCTCCAGAGGATTTAGCCCCCTTCCTGACCAGGCAATTTTTTGCTGTTTGGCACTGCGCTATTTCAACTGGTAATTGTAATTGCGCGGTCGTGCAATGCTGTACCCAAATGAAATTTATGTCCTTTTTTCACACAAATAGAGCTTTCTTTCGGTGGTATTTGATCTCCTCTGTGGTTTTTATATTTTGCGCTATTAACAAAAAAAGACTGAAAATTTTGAAAAAAAACCCCCGATATTTTTCACTTTTGGTTTATAAAAAATATCCAATAAAATCAGTCATAAATTTAGGATAAAAAAAAAAAAAATCTCAATACATCTATATTAATTGGTTTGTGTAAAAGTTTATAGCGTCCACAAACTATGTGTGTGTGTGTGTGTGTGTTGAAATTTACGTAGCTTTTACTTTCTGACTGCCTACAACATTTCTTGAGATGCTAAAATGCCAGGGCAGTACAAACCCCCCCGCCCAAAATGACCCCTTTTTGGACCCCAAGGATTTTGCAGAGAGGCATGTTGAGTCCATGGAACATTTTATTTTTTTAATATGACCATTTTTTATTTTTTTAAATTGCCACTTTAATGATATATTGCTCATGCATGCCATGGGTATATGTGGAATAACACCCCAAAACACATTTTCCTACTTCTTCCGAGGCTTTTAAAGGGCATATTTCCTCATATCAATTCCCCACTACCTATCACAGTTTCGGAGGCTCTAAAATGCCAGGATACCCCCCCCCCCCAAATGACCCCTTTTTAGAAAGACACCCCAAGGAAATCGATAAGAGTCATGGTGAGTATTTTACAGATATCATTTTTGTCACGGGGTTTTGAAAAAGAAAAAATATATATATTTTTTTCTTTCTGTCTGGCAACAAATGAGATCTGCAAAACACTCGCCATGCCTCTTAGCAAATACCTTGGAGTGTCTACTTTCCAAAAAGGGGTCATTTGGAGGGGGTGCTTCTACTAACAAACAAACACTTTTTGTTCACATGAAAAAAACTGGTTTTTTTTTGCTAGAAAACTACTTTGAACCCCCAAACAGTATATGTATTTTTTAAAAACAGAGGCCCTAGAGAATAAAACGGTGGGTGTTGAAATTTTTTACATCACACAGTATTTGTGCAGCGATTTTTCAAACGCAGATCTTTTGGGAAAAATACACTTTTTTGAATTTTAATGCAGAAAAAACACAATATATTGCGCAATTGTTTGATAAAATATAAAAGATGACGTTACGCTGAGTAAGTAGATACAAAACATGACATGCTTTAAAATTGCATGTGCCCGTGCAATGGCAGCAAAGCACATACATTTTTATTATAGATAGGTGATGCTTTAAAAGCCTTTACAGGTCACCAAATTATATTTACACAGGAGGTCTTGTGCTAGAATTACTGCCCTTGATCTGACGTTCGTGGCTATGTGTCACATGCTTGGTGCAACCGCTGTTTACATACCGACACGGTCAACGCTTGCGCGCATATAAAAATATATTATTTATATAAATATGGGGTCCATCAGATTCCAGATATCTCCTCTGCTCTTACATTATATAATCTCACCAAGATCAATGTGATCAGATGCTTTCACAATTTACAAATGGCGCTGATTATATCCTGCAAAACTGAAGTGATGAAATGCTCGTAGCTTCCGATTTCTTAGACTATAGAGATGATTGGAGCCATTCTGGTCTCTGATCAGCTCTATAGTCAGCCAGCAGAACTGCCGGCTGCATTCTCGGATTTCCCTGTGGGACAGGAGAGCCCAAGAAAACTGGAGGGCAGCAAAAGGGGGAGGGAATGTCCCTTCCCGCTGCTCATAAAAACAAATCGGCAGCTAATTGGCCGCTAGGATTGCCTTTTACCGCCAGCTGAAAAAAGACGGTACCATAATGATGCCTGTAGCTGCAGGCATCATCCCGGTAGAACTACTCAAAGTCCAACAACGTACCAGTACATTTCTGGTCCATGTTGGGCATATATGTAACAGCAGAGAACACAGGCATATGATGAATTGGCTCTGTGGACCAATATGATCACAATTCATTCTCTTTTAAAATGCCCATGTTGAGGGTTAGGCCGAAAAACGTTTTAAATTCAGAAACCGTGCTAGGTTTCCATGCGAATTGTCTGGCAAGAGCTGAATTTGGGTGGGCGGCAATGTATTGTTGTGCGTATACATTGCCTTGGCCCACAATCAATTGATACAAATCTGTAAAAAAGCAGCGGAGGGGCTAAATGCTGGTGCTGACTGCGAATGAGCCCATCCTGCTAACTCTGCGTTTCTGGGGACACTATACAAAGGAGGCATTAGTATAGTTCTGTTCATGATTAATGTCTTGATCCCGTACAAGCACTATACTAGTAATGGCAGTGATCAGCGACCTATAGCATGTGTGCGAGCAATCTAATGCTAGCTGACCCTGACTGGGTGGGGCACTTACTGCCCCTTACGCTATCTGATGTCTCTAGTGGCAGTAATACAGTGATCAGTGAAAAATTCTATATACTGACACTGTACTAAAGGGACTGACTGGGTGACGGGGCGATCAAAGGGTTAAATGTGCTAATCTAACGTATGTGTGTAAAATGTACTGCTTTTACTCTGTGCCATGTTCCCTCTTCTCTCCCTGGAATGACAGGTGGGAGGGAAGGGGCAGCGGGGGGCGCAGGTGCGTTCACACCCCAAAATAGAAAGTGATGCAAGATTAGGTTGGTTTGCCAAGAGCTGCTGCTCACCTGCAAAATTCAGGTAAACTGTTGGCCAGTAGTTAAAAAAAAAAACAAAAAAAAAAAAAAACAAAAACTAAAAAAGAAATGGAAAAAAAAATTCTCAATGTTTTTTTGTTTTTTTTTTAAACTTCTTTTTAGAAATGTTTATCTTTTAAATATTTTTATCAGAATAGTACCGTGTTACCATAGTAACATTGTACTAGTGGGTGGGTGTATGTGTGGGGCAGGGAGGAATCAGGGCTTTTTTTTTTTTTTTTTTTTTTTTTTTTTTTTTTGCTTTGCAGAAATAAAGATCATTGTGACCGTGACAGCTGTGGGCCAATCTCACTGGAAAGAGGAGCAGAACTGTTAATCAGATTGATTCATAACAGCTTTGCTTACGTTGTGACCATCTGATCGCCTAGCGATCACATGATCGCCGGGTCCTGGTCACTGGGATCTTCATTCTGCTGTGTCCGCTGCGGATGCTGACCGCTTCCATCCAATGTGGCTTGGCTACAGATAAGCTCTTTGATTTTATATTTCTGTGAGTTTGCATTTTGACTTTTTAATTGTAATACACCCCTTGATGTTGCACTTAGTTGGCACCCCCCATGTGTTTCTTTTTGTGGTTTTCACCAGTGACTTCTTTACAATACTTTCTAAGTAGATCAATTTTAAAAAAAAATGCTAATGTGTTACATAAGGGACTTTTGTTTGTTTTACTCTTGCTTATACAGTATATAGTACAGTTAATGGCAGCCATTCTAGATGTAACAGTTTGGTTTTTTTTTTGCAGTTTTTGTGTTCTCTGACCTTTTGGTCGATGATCAGTCTGTTTATCCTAAGGAAATTAGAGACCGATACATCATGTCAAAAACCATAGGAAGGTAGGTAACAATGGCATTTTGTCTGCCTTAGTTTTTTTTTTTTTTTTTGTGGTATGATGGTTATTATTATAGTACATCAGAGAAATAGTCTATGATTCAAGTGGATTTTCAAGGAAACCTGGACCCAATAATAAAAAAAAAAACAGAAGCTTCCTTTGCTGATGTCTCTGAACTCAGCAGTTCCCTGTGCTCATCCTCTGACTTCAATGCTTTTGAATTACTAACCAGAAACAAGAATGCAAATCGGGAAACCTGACTACAAACCAACCTCATTTACTGCATATTTTTTATGACTAGTGATTCAAAGTATTAAAGTGAGAAGATCAGCATATTTATAGCATATTCATATATTGATGTATTTCACTTGGCACAGGTTTACAAGCTTGAAACAGCAGTATACAGTTTGGAATAAATGGCTCTGAAATAATAGATTTGATGTACGCTCTAAACCAGCAGTTCTGGATGTCCCAGCAAGCCAAAAGGAATTATTTGTATGGCTCTGCCTACTATCCTAGCATGAGAAATAAATCTCCTTTATCTTTTGGGTTTGTGAGGAAAGTGAAACATGGATGGAGCCAAATACAGGGCAATCTTAGAAAAAAACCTATTGGAGTCTGCAAAAGACTTGAGACTGGGGCGGGGTTTCACCTTCCAGCAGGACAATGACCCTAAACATACAACCAGAGCTACAATGGAATGGTTTACATCAAAGCATATTCATGTGATAGAATGGCCCAGTCAAAGTTCAGACCTAAATCCAATTGAGAATCTGTGGCAGGACTTTAAAATTACTGTTCACAGACACTCTCCACCCAATCTGACAGCTTGAGCTATTTTGCAAAAAGAATGGGCAAAAATTTCACTCCTAGATGTGCAAAGCTGGTAGAGACATACCCAAAAAAGACTTGCAGCTGTAATTGCAGCAAAAGGTGGTTCTACAAAATATTGACTCGGGAGCTGAATACTAATGCACGCCATACTTTTCAGATATTTATTTGTATAAAAGTTTGAAAACCATTTATCATTTTCCTTCCACTTCACAATTATGTGCCACTTTGTGTTGGTCTATCACATAAAATCCCAATCAAATACATTTACGTTATTGTTTATAACATGACAGAATGTGGAAAATTTCAAGGGGTATGAATACTTTTCCAAGGCACTGTGCTTGCTGTTTTAAGAGAACTCTACTAGTGTTTGGGTTAATTTTCAATTTCATGTAGCTGAACACAAAAACTGATGAATCTGTGACTTTTTGGCAGAATCTTGTGGTAATATTTCCGTCTTTTTTTTTTTTTTTATAGTGGATTTTTTATATATATATATATATATATATATATCTTGTAATGCTACCACAGCTCAGAATGTGAACTGGAGGTATATTCCTCCCTGAACATCAGGATTTCGCAACTGTGTCCTCTCTCCATGGAGGCTGACTGACAACCTAGTACCTCCCTTTGTCACTTCTCTTGATCTACTGATGCTCTACAGAACAACTGTAACTCACATGTTACTTAATACAAGATAATACAGTTTTTGCAGCGATCCCATTTCGTTGGCTTTAACTTATGAAATGGGAAGTGGGATAGTATGATTGCACAACCCGACTTTAGAAGATTTTATTATACTTTTGCACTTTTAGTTTTTTTTATGAAGGGGGTTAATGCATGTCTGTATTATGGATCTCTGACTTCAGCTTTAAGATTCTTCTGTTATTTCAGTGGGGCTTGTGGTGAAGTCAAACTGGCCTTTGAAAAATTAACATGCAAGAAGGTGGCTGTGAAAATTATAAGTAAGCGCTCATTTCGGATGAGTTCTGCTTCTTTGGTAAGTAGGATTTTGACACTCCTACCTGTTTTCTGGTGCATTTAGTTTATAGAAAAGGTTGAGTGACAATGGTTAGTTTTTCTAATTCCTTAAACAAAATGCCTATCTTTGTCAAAATCAAGCATGTTGTGTTGGTTTAGTTTTGTCTTTGTATATTATCTGCTATGTTCAGCAACAAACACATTACACGATTGGTTGGCTTGGAAACTAGGTCTCGTAGAACTTGGACTGAAAAGTTTTTTTTAAAATCTTCTTTTCTCTAGAGCAATGCCATTTCTGCAGACACAGAAATTGAAATTCTAAAAAAAATGAGTCATGTAAGTAAATAAATTGAAGCAGACATTTTCTTATTATTTTTTTTTTTTTTTTTAATGGGTGTGAAAATATTCAATGCACACTTGAGTAAAGTCATAGAATATCTAATCATGTTTATTCTGGACTGTAAGCACACCAGTGTTTCCTAACCCTGTTCTCAAGTCCTCTCTATAATACAGGTGTTGCTGGTAACTACAGATACGCAGAGGGGAGCTCATTAGTGTCCTAGTAATGTTATTTATCTACTGATGTTGCTATCCACAAAACACAATCAGCTGATGGCATATGGCAGGATTGAAATCACTCTGCCACAGTATAGAAACATTGATGATATAAACAGTTAAAAAATGTGGTCTGCATTATTATCACATACCTGGTGATGGAGGCCAATGGAGAGAGGGCTTCCCTTGCGGCTAAGTTCCGAACTCCCCTGAGAGTGGGACAGCGGGAGTCAGGCCCAAATTTGCACAGGTCACCTGTAGGAGTGCTGGTTGGTGGTCCACTTAGAAGCACAGCTGGTGCACAGAGATAGATCTGAAGACAGGAGGCTCCTGTGCATGGTATGCAAGCCCTTCCGGGATTTAGATGTTTACTGGGTAGTCGGTTCAAGCCAAGGTCAGGTACCAGGTGGGATGCAGAGCAGACGTAGTCAGATGGGATAGCCGAGGTCATTCACAGAGGAGCGAGAAAGAGCATATCCGTAAGCCAAGCCGAGGTCAGATCAGGGGAAAAGCAGAGTAGACAGGTCCAGGAGCAAGCCGAGTCAGTAACAGGAAATCACAGGTCAGAATCACTGGAACAGGGCACGGGGAGCTAGAGATCATCCAGCAACTAGAGGAAGTGATGAGCCTCCTTTATAATGGCCATCTGGCACCAGACTGAGGCTGATGTGTACTTCTGCGGTTATGTAGAGTACTGGCAGAAATGTCAGATCTTCCAGAACGTCTGCCGTGGACAAGACCCTGACAATTATATTGAATTTATTTTTTTCAGCCTTGTATCATTAACATTGAGAACTTCTTCGACACAGAGGACAATTTTTACATCGTTTTGGAGTTGTGAGTAACGTACTAATTATTTTTCTTATTATTTAGTTAGAGAGAATTAAATTTTACATAAAGGATGTTAGCCATAATGCTCCCGACCTGATGTAAAGGAAAAGTATAGTTAATGTTCAGTGAGCTCCTAAGGTTTTATCGTATTTAACTTGACTTTCACATTATTTACAAGCTTGCTCATTCATGTATTTGTTATGCTACTGAAGTAAACCAGTTGTGACAGAAATATGAGGGGCCAACAATACTGATCACCGTTTGAAAATGCTAGATGACATGCTGTCATACCTGGCCACAAGCTTCAGTTCTTTCTAAGGATTGATGTTGAAAAAGTATGTAGATCAGTGGAGTAAGAAGTCCTATAGTGTATACATTTTTCAGCACAGTAATTCAAAGTATTGAGCAGCTGGAGGCCAGCTATGGCAGCCTTCAAGTTTCCCTCAAGACCGCTTTTTCTATTTTTGAAGAACTTAAGCTTTAGGTTCTGCCCTTCTGATGTGTTCTTTTAAATAGCTATTTACATCTTTTTCCTTAAGTATTCAGGCTGGTGCAATATCACAGGTCATTCCTTGGCTGTTGGGGGCTGTCCTTCCCTTGTATAGTTGTGTGAGTAACTACAGTTACTAGAGTGCTGCTCAATCAAAGGGTACTAAGAGCCCGGGCTGCATGATGAGTCTGCCCTGGGAGGTGGGCCTGTGACATCCTGGGCTCCCTGGTGATAGCCCGTGGACCGAAGATAAGTTCTGCCGGGTAATGGGAGGGGATTCATGACAGCTACAGATAGGTCAAAATTGCAGCAAAAGCTTTGGTGTTTTTTTTTTTTTTTTTTCTTCCAAACGGGGATAAAATAACTAAAAGCTCAACAGATTAACCACTAGAGGGATTGCTCAGTGACTTTACACAACTACTGACCTATTCATAACGACTGTTGGGACAAGAAATCGCCCACCCATGGGAAAGCAGACGCTCTGTTTTAGCGCTAAATTATAGTTAAGCTTATACAGGATTTAGGACTCTTTCCCTGCCACCATGTTATCGAGCTGCTACGTGGTGATTGGTCACCCATGCACTCCTTGCTTGCTTTATCCAGCATGTGTAAATCACTTAACCCCTACTTCCATCAACAGCAGATAATGTTTGACTGTTATCAAGGATTTGGTCATGTAGTCTGCTGTGTTGTGCTTCCTGCTTAGTAGTGCTGCCAAACTGTTGTGAGGACTGATTGAACGAAGAGCACTGCTCATATCTCCGCGAAGGCAAGATTTTATCTCCGTAGATATCTGTGGCTAAATGATTGAAGTAAAAACATAGAAAAACTGAGGGGAAAATCTTCAAATATGTATAATGTTTCACTCTTGTGTAATATTGAAATGTGAGATTACATGTAAGAGTTGTAAAACCTAAAAAGAAACATAATTCCAAATATTTTCTCACTGAAAATTGACTATATTCTGTGTTTACAGCAGAGCTCCACCCAAAAGGTCACCAACTTCCCATGACAAATTGGTACCTTTGGGGAGTGGGTACCTGATTTTGACAGGTACCCACTCCCATTTCTGCTCAAACCGCCTTGGCAATCGGAAGCGGAAGTTCCCCTTCTCCTCCCCCCCGCAGTCTTCTGGGACACCTGACAGGTCCCAGAAGACACTGGAATCATTCACAATGCACAGTGGGCACCCAGCTGTGGCGCCGCAAGTGGTCACAGCCAAGTGCCCATACTTGAAATGCCAGTGAACCCGGCTGCAGTGAGCACACTGCTCGATCGGCTGAGTGACTCTTTTTTTTCTTAGAATAGACTGGAGCTCTGCTGTAAGCGTAGAGCTAAGTTATTTTACAATTTAACCCACTTCCAGACCAGTGACGTACCCGGACATCGCTGGACTTTGAGTGGGTCTACTGGGATGATGCCTGCAGCCGCTGGATTGCTTTTACAAGCAGCACGATCACTGAGTGTTCAGTTGGCAATTCTGCTGGCCCACCATAGAGCTGATCGGAGACCAGAAACCAGAACAACTCTGATCACCTCTATGGTCTATGAAACTGGAAGTGATGAGCAATTTCATCATCAATTCCGGTTTCACTAGTTGTAAACAAACCCTTGAGGGGGGTGGGGGGCTTTGAAAAAAACTTCGGATCATATCGATCTTGGTGTGATCTGGAGCTTTTATGGGCAGAGGACCTCGGATCTCTCAGTAAAGGGTACCAGTCACTGCCTATTGCTATCACAGGGAATATTTATATTTCCTCTGATAAAAATAAGTGATCAAAAAAAATTAAAGTGACCTTGTAAAAAAAAAAAAAGTGCCCTACGCTTGCATGAAGAGGCAAAAGTACCCATCAGTCCTGCATGCATATGTAAAAAGCAACCGCACCATGTGAGGTAGCATCGTGAATGTCAGATCGAGGGCAGTAAATCTAAAGTGTTAGCCCTGTAAAGGCTTTTCAAGCATTAGCACACGGCCATGTGCAGTTTTAAAGCATGACATGTTTGGCATCTGTTTACTCAGCGTAACATCATCTTGCATTTTTTTATTTGGGTATTCTATTGTGTTTTTGTGCACTAAAATTTAAAAAAAAGTGTATTTTTCCAAAGAGATTGAAAAACTGCTGTGCAAATACAGTGTGGCACAAAAGATTGCAACGCCCACCGATTTATTTCCTGGGGCCTCTGGAACAAGCATGCATCAGTGCCCCCAGGGAAAGCAGCTTTCTCTGGGGCACTACTTGAGGGGGAGGAGCTAGGAGCACCAGCAGGAAGGGGAGGGTCCAGCAAAGAAGAGGACAAGGCAGCTGCAAAAAAACAAACAAAAAACAAAGCTTTAGTATTACTTTAAAGTGGTTAACTGTCCCACTGTAGTCCATTGATGCTGGAGTGATTTCACTTCCAGAAATTTAAAGGAGCACCAGCCTAGTGCATTACCTGAGAATAGAAGTTTTATTAAAACCCAAAAATATATATACTCACAAACGGTTGTGTCAAAAGCATCATGATCTCAAAGCGACCAGGTCAACTCTCAAGCTTCGAGAAGACCCACAGATGGTTGACGCGTTTCAAGGGGCAGTTCCCTCTTCCTCAGAGCCAATCCTGCATGCTATACAAACAGTCTTTACAAAGCTAAATGGTAGAATCACATAGTGTTGGGCAGACTCCTCCCACTGGGGTGTGTATGGATAATGGCCCAAATTGTACTCAACTGGTTACGACATTGACATGAAGTGTGATCAGAGAAACAAGTAGCATTGAATTGCACACAACACAAATAAATAAAAATACATTAACACTGTAATTGCATAAAACCCTTAATAGTGTTAAAAAAGGCATAAATTGCTTACATGAATGATTGAGGTCTATAAACTTGATATCTCCAGTGGTGCATTCTCGTAATGGGTATATTCTTTTCTAGGGGGTGCTGCTGAGGCATCCTATGTGTGTGTCCCGTAGGTCAGTGGAGAGCTGTCAGCATCTGCCCAGCAGGGTGCAGCCTATGCTGTGAAACACACGCCATCCGAAACTGGATGTCTTGCGTGCGTTCCAGCTCAATCTCCCGGAGAGGCCAGAACGTCATTTCCGGTGATGCCATCCTGACGTAATTTCCGGATCGGATGGGGCACCAATGGAGAAGCGGCCAGAGGGAACACCCAGCCAGATTGACAGCCACTCTCCTTTCCGCAAAACCCCGCTGAACATGACCGCAAGCAATACCAGAACATACATGCTGCAAACTCGGTGGCCCCACAGCCCCCCAACAGTCTCGAAGCTGTATAACTTCACAGCATATTACACCAAGCGAAAAACAATCTGAAAAGGAACACAGTCCTTGGGTTTCATTCAATACTGAATGTAAAATATAAATATGTGGAGGAAATTAATAATGTAAAAGGAATTTTTTTAGATATGAATTTATATGAAAGAAAAAAATTATGTAATTAATTAATGGATAAAAAGTAGATAGACCATGATTACATATAGTAACAAAAAGTATAGACATATCACGTGTCTATACTGAGCGTTTTGACTGTCTTACCTCTGGTCAAATTGTGGACTAAGCCTGTTTTTATTAGTTTGGCAAAATTTGTTAAAATCTGAATATACTAGCTGGTAGACATTTGAAATTGTGCCCTTTGGCGAGATTAAGATAGAAGGCTGATCTTTGCATGAATGGTGTCTCCATGACCTCCATTTCTCCAAAGGCACCCAGAGCATTGAAACCTAAATCTAACCATTTACCATCCTACAGTTCATCAAGAATATTCAATTTATTGTTACTCATTTGGTCTTTAGCGGACTTGAAATGTATTTATTTTTTTGTTCTTGGTCCCTTCTTCCTCCTCCAAGCACCTTTCTATCTGCATCTGTGCATATTTTCTTTCCTCCTATCTTTTTGGCTTTTTGTCATCTCTGTAAAATGTTCTGCATCTCTGCCAGCCATGTAACAGGCCTCAGCTACCCAAAGATGGTCATCAAAGACTAGCTGTGGGACTTTGGTGCAAGCTATGTTTTACACCCTACTAAAAACACTTTTTTAAAAAAAAAAAAAAAAAAAAAAAAAAAAGTTTTTTTTTTAAATTGTACAGTCTGCCCTTATGTTGTAAAGAGCCTTGTAAAGTGTTGGTGCTATTTAAATCCAGCATAATAATAATATACTAATAATAATAAAAAATAAGCCACATAATAATGTTGCTTGGACTATTCTGAACAAAACATACAAGACACATTCACCAGACCATTTTAATTATCTTGCAAACAAACCTTGATGGTTTGGTTCTGTTGGTTCTGCAAAGCCATATACATCCTTAAAGTATATATGAACCTATATACGGTGTGCATATGTATTGAGGGGGGGGGGGGAGCATGTCAGCAGGCAGCAGAGAAACAGCAGCACACTGATCTTCCCTGTGATTAGGGGGCCGTGTCAGCAGAAGTCTGAACAATGGAGAACAAGCTGGCTGTGTTCCCAGCACAGCCAGAAAACTGACCACACTGAGATGGATGTGCTGCCATGCCCAGCGTGGTCAATTTGAAATTGGAAAGCAGTGGGATTGGTAGGATCACTAGAAATTTAACGTAACGTACACTTTAAAATAATATAATGCATGAAGGTAAACTCCTTTAGGGTTTACAACCACTTGAATGTTACTTTTGTACTTTTTTGCTTTAGATAGGTAGTGGTGTATTAATCTGGTTGGTCCACTTTTTTTTTTTCTTCAGGATGGAAGGAGGAGAATTGTTTGACAGGGTAATAGCAACATGCGGACTTAAAGAATCTACTGCAAAACTGTACTTTTATCAGATGCTGCTAGCTGTTCAGGTAACTTCAAATTTCATTAAATGTTATGCAAAGTGTTAATTATTACAGTAAAGGTGTTTCATGCTTGAAGCTACTAAACTGATTACCTGAATAAAAATGTCAGCAATTAGGCAGAATTTTATTTCCGAGCACCCTATGTTTAGGTTCTCCCAAGGTGCTCATTAAAAGAGAAGTTTAGGGTTTTTCCTACTTACCTAGGTGGATGTAGCATCAGTGTGATGCTGCATCTGTCCCCTTAGGCTCGAAGTGTGGGAACTCGGCGATCACATGACTGCTGATCGGGTAATTGTCATCACCGCTGTGAGCAGAGAGCAGTGACTGTCAGTCACTGCTGTTGGCTGATGCAAGACCTCTCTGGGCAAGACGTGGATACCGCCATAGTCAGTGGTATGGAAGGGTTATATTTAAGTAGGATTGTCACAGCTCGGCATTGTAACGCATGGCGCAACTGGAGATATTGAAAAAAAACTTTATTGCGTATATGATATCTGTCTACCAGCGCTCTAAAGGGCAAAAAGACATCCTGATTTATATAATTGATGGAGAAACCAGACCAGACCTTTTCCAAAGACCAAAGCCCTCAAGCTTCACCACTTCTGATGGATTGGGTCAGAGGCATCCAGTTTATTCCAGCAATACAATGTTGCATCTGCGACGCTATAAAATATAATCTGGCATTAGGTAGAGCCAGGCCCCCCCCCATCCTTGGGCAGTTGTAATGTGGAAAGCCGTATTCTGGGATGTCTGTTTTCAGATAAGATCCCTAAAAAGGCATTACATTTTTCAAAAAAAGAGCTGCGGAAGCCACACTGGGTAATTATGTAAAATATAGAGGAGTAGAGGCATCCAAATCATCTTAACTAAATTAGCCCTACCAATGACCATTAGAGGCAATCTACACCACGTTCCGCCCGTTTGTTTCAATCTATGGAGTAAGGGTTCCAAATTACGTTCCATGTAATCAGTCATCTGAGGGGTGATCAGAACTCCCAAATATTTGAAGGAGGGCACAACTGATATCTGCTTAGCAATTGGGGGTAGGTCTAATGGAAGGGGGTCCAGCGGTAAAAGAACTGACTTGTCCCAATTAATAATAAAACCTGAAAATAAACCATATGTGTTGATTAGGGACATTACTTCAATTAAAGAGGAGGAAGTGTCCCCCAAAAACCGCAAGGTGTCTTCATATAATGCTATTTTGTCCTCCCCTGTAGACCTTTTGAATCCTATATTAGAGGATTGACGGATTGCTGCTGCAAAGGGTTCCAAAGTCAACTCAAAAAGGAGGGGGGATAATGGACATCCCTGGCTCGTACCTCTATATAGAGGGAAAGAATCCGAAACATGCCCATTAATTTGTACTCTAGCTGTCGGCGATAGAGAAGTTGGATCCATTGTAGAAATTTGGACCCAAACGTCCTTAGCCAATGCCACCGGAAACTCCATTCTATACTATTGAATGCTTTTGCCGCATCAAGCGATAATACTGCTCTATTACCAGCATTACTCATAGGAATTTGCAAGTTCAGAAACAATCTAATATTTATGGAAGTCGCTCCAGTTAGAATAAAGCCCAACTGATATGGATGAACTATTTTGGAAATTACATTCGATAATTGGACTGCCAACATTTTAGCTAGAAGCTTAACGTCCTAGTTAAGTAACGATATCAGGCGATAAGAATCTGGAATGATGGGGTCCTTGCCAGGTTTGGGTATTACAACAATAGCCTCGTTCATAGATGAAGGCAAGGTCCCAGCATCAAAAGCAGTATTAAATACCTCCAACAGTTCTAGTAGAAGGTAAGCTCCATAAGTTTTATACACCTCACTTGGGAGGCCATCAATCCCTGGGGCTTTATTATTAGACATACTAGTAGTGAATTGTAGATACTCTAAATTCAAAGCCTTTTCCAGGGCCTCTCTCTCTGGATCAGACAGAGAAGTTAATTTAATAGAATTAGGAAACAACAATAAGTCGTCCTCAAAATAGGATACCTTAGTACTGTACAGTGATCTAAAAAAAAATCACAAAAGACTGAAGAGATCTCCGGAGTGGTAGCTACCACAACATCCGGGGGTCTCCGCAGATCAGAAATGTAGGCCAGAGAACTCTGTGATCTCACTATAGTAGCTAACAAGTGACCCGTACTTTCCCCCTCCTCAAAGTAGGGCTGTTGGAAAAAAAAAATTTCTGTTCTGCTTTCTTGAGGGAGACAGTATAATCCTGCTGCAATTGTTCCAATTCACGTTGGTTAACAGTCGTGGGGTCAGCAATATATCTGGCCTTGGCCTGTAGAACTTGAGTAGTTAAAGCACATTCCCACTGTTTAGATTGCTGCCTGATTCTAGAAATTTGTGCTATAAGGACACCTCACAGGTAGGCCTTCAATTAATCCCAATATATTAAGGAGGGCACAGTTAGTTTGTTGATGACACTATACTCTTGGGGGTCAATCACTATACCTCCAGGAGGGGGAAGGAGAGTCAGCCAGTAAGGATTCACTTTCCAAAAGGTCAGATTGGGATTGGACCTCAAAAACAGTTTTAGGACTAAAGGGGAGTGATCTGAAAGACCTAGCCACATAGGCAATATCAGATATTAAGGGTAGTAGTCTAGTTGTTCCCAAAGCTAAGTCTATTCTCATTAGGGTTTTATGGGTACGTGAGAAGCACAAAAAGTGCTTCTCAGTAGGGTGTCGTAGCCTCAAAATATCTACCAGGCCAATCTCCTGAATATATCTAGCAAAGGCTGTGGTTTGCGATGGCACTGGTCCTGCGGCAGAGCTATACTTATCCAGAGATGGGTCACCATAATTATTGGAATCCCCTACCAACAACCAAGGGACATCTGGCTTATCTGAAGTAAACTTTAGGAGGTCCGTAAGGACGTCAGGTGAGTAGGGAGGAGGAATATAGATATTAGCCACCAAATACATTTTCCTAAACAATGTACAATACAGTAAAATATACCTCCCTTTCGTATCCTGCTGGACCTGGCTACAGGAGAAGTCCACCCCATTTGCTATTAAGATAGACACCCCTCTAGAATAAGAGTTCTAAGTAGAATGATATTGAGTGCTATAAGTAGTAGAGTATCCAAGCAAAGGTGAGTCTCCTGCAAACAGATCACAGAAGGAGAATGACATTTCAGAGTAGCAACAGCGCACCATTTCGTACTCCAATTTTCCTATCTTCCCATCAAGATCTCCTTAGCCAGAATGTGTTGTATGCCATACAATCTCTCTCTCTCTGTGATCTTCCAATGTGCTGATCCAAATCTCCAAAAGAAAAAACTAATATAGTGTACTATTTCTTGCACACAAAAATTGCATGTGCAACTGTGTGCAATAAACAAGGAATGTGTACCACTCTTCCCTAAATACTCTTACCCTCTAAGGGTGAAAATGTGCATTTCACTCTTAAACTGTGAATCAAATCCACAACACGTGTATCCGCCCTTCATCTACCACCTTTGTGCAAAGCCAAAAACAACGTGCTTGATCCCTTTCCCCTTCAGTCATGCACCTTACCCTGCATGTCTTGTGAATAGCCTTTTTGTAATCCAGTATCAATGTGCCCAATCGCCTCCTCACTTCACAAATTCTCAGTGATTATTTAAGATAAACATACTCCCATAGTGCAATATTGCTTGGAATCAAGTTTAATAATGTAAAAATGTGCTTACATGTGTTTGGAATACAAACAGCTTGATTCTACCAATTTCCAAAATGGCTGTTGCGGCACTTCCGGTTGTGTCTGACGTCACATCCGACTGACGCATTTTGTCATTGAATTGACTTCCTCATAGGCAATAGGCGTCAGACACCACCGCATTTCTACTTATAAAACATCCTGCCCACATCCTGTGGCCATGGTCTCCATCTTACTTCTGGAAAGACATCTGAATGCAGCACTAGCCTACTTTTCTATAACCCCATGTCCTTAGAATTCCTAAAACAATGTCCTTTTTACAATCCAACAACAAGGTTAGGTTAGTATATCATCCCATGTAACCCAATTGATTTGTTATAATCATTATTCTCTACATAGATATATGAAGAGACCTAAAACGTCTGCCATCTAGTGGTAAATCAAATTAATGCTAATGAAGCTGAATATAACAGGTTTGTAAACCCTGACTGTTTAGAATATGTTGGTATCCGTATCCTCTCTGCACATTATTATAGATAAAAAAATTTTTATTTCAAAATAAATGAATTAAAATAATTAATGAACCAATAATGTTCATTAAATTATATGAATCATGAGTGCATCTAAAAAAGGGGAGGACAGGCGTGTCAGATCTAAAACAAAACACACTTGTCCTCACTACTAACATTTGCCTAATTGGAATCCCCAAATGATAACCTATGAGTTGGAGATGAAGCCGTTCAAATCCAATTCTATATTTAGCTCATACTGTCCAGCTCATATATCCAGAACGTTTCGTTTTTTTAAATCTCCCTTGTGCGATTATTGCCCCTCCAATGTGCTCCAATTTTGTCAATGGCACAAAACCTTAAGAATGTGGGGGCACTCCTGTGTACATCTCTAAAGTGTTTTGACAAGCTATGTTCCTTCTTTCCTTTTATTAATGTTGGTGACATGTTCCCTTAATCTTATTTGTAGCTTCCTTGTGGTACACTCCACATATTGGAGCCCACCAGGACATTCCAAAAGATAAGTCACAAAATTGGAGTGGCATGAGATACATTTTCTAATGGTGAAAATCTTTTTGTGTCACGTTCGATCTAAAGGTTTCAATTTTTTTTTTATGTCTAGCATTAGTGATCCTACCTATGGTCCACTTACCGCACAGGAAGAAACCCTTCAGATCAAACATGGTGCCCTTAACCAGTCTCAGGGGAGAGATGACATTTCTTACTAACTTCTGTCTAAAGTTGGGAGATTTCCTATAAGCAAATCTAGGTCTTGTGGAGACCAAAGATCCCAAGATTCTATCATTCCTAATAATGGACCAATATTTGTCAATAATCC